AAATCTTTTGAAACACACCTCAACCAAAAATGTATTTCGATGCCGGCAAAATAGTTATACAGGGTGTCCATTTAGTAGACGATATCTCCTTTCAGGGTAATGCAAGAGAAAAAAATTAAATTATAAAGTTGTTTGATACTCTAAAGTCCATTCGTTGAAAATCTTTTCGAATATACAGAGTGTTCCGTAAATGAGGTATGCGACAGACCTTTGTTATTTTAAAAGGAACACCCTACATTTCAGAACATTGATGGATTTTTCTCAAAATCCTACATACTTTTTGTTAGGAATTACCTATGCCTACTCCTACTAAAACTCGACCCTTTTTGAAATACCTATTTGAAATTTATTCAAAAAATCGCAGTTCGCATGTATCAACAAAAACTAACACATTTCATTCATTTGAGATCCTAAATCTTTTGCAGGTTGTTAGTGTATACTTACATTTACTTCATGGTCCTATGAAAATCTGATATTATTCTACAGGGCAGGGTGTTCGCAATACTGGAACTGTACACGAAACCAGACATTTCAAACAACCATAGATTTTTTTCAAATGAAATACCCTTTATTTCACTGTATAGTAGTAGGTACGTCGGTACTGATGAGCCTATCAATTTATACAATGATAGAAGGCATTGCTTTACTTTATAGAACTTGTCTTTTGTTGAAATTTTATTCTTAAGCGTAAAAAAAAAATCTTTGTCTGGGGAAGGGGGGGGGGGGGGGGTAATTACCCCCCTCTACCCCCCCCCTTTTAAACAGCCCTTGTACAGAAGTGACATAAAACATTGGCTGCAAGACAAGACTGTCGACCATTTGTATGCCAGTTGTTGTCACAATCCTTACAATTTTTGTTTGTTGTGTTGTTTTGTTTGTTATATGAGTTGTTAGGCCTATTCTGATTGTTGGTGTTTAATCTCTATGTACTATGTTTGGATAGTTTTGAAACATCAGTAGTGGGCATCTCCATTTGTTGCATCTGTGTTTAGTTCATATGCTTCTGCTTGCGATAGTAGTTCTAGTGATGAATTTTCTGTTGAACCATATCTAGGGCCAAATTACGGACCAACTGGTAAGTGTCTGGTTGTTACCTAGCAGGTAATTTCTATTCTCTAGTGCATAGAAAGTACCTGCTAGGTGATAACCAGACACTTACGAGTTGGTCCATAATTTGGCCCTTACGTAGTTTGCTAGAGGTTGTTGACTGAATGATTTGTGATTTTATTTCCCTATCCTTATCAGGAAATCTGCAGTTAGTAGGTACCTAATTTTAGAAGATGGGCATGATGTTCATCAATTGTTGCAGCTCGCTGTTGTTTTGCTTGGCGGAAATTAAAAATTTCAAACTCGATATTTATTCTAGGTACAAAGTGGTGAGTGAGTTTATGTTTAGCTATGTCCTATTTTGTTGTGTGTGCTGGTACCGTTGTTGGTTGAGGTCAGGAAGGCCTCTTAAGCAATGCAGTGAAGCAGCATTGCCTCTTTACTGGAATCTTCAGAAATTCCAGCAGCTATTAAAAAATTGTCGAATCTACGAATCTATGTTTGCCATCTAGCACCCAAGTTTTCCATGTTTGCATGCATATTAGAGGTTCAATGTTTGTTAATAGGTTATCTGCCATGGTGAGTTCGCTTTCTTTTTTTTTCATTGTTAGAAAAAAAATTAGACTCGTCGCCAAATGTGATGATTAGGTGTTGGGACTGCCGGTGTTGTGTTAAAGATTGATAATAATGATAATTAAAGAATTGTTTGAACAAAATCAAGGAGCATTTATTAGGTTAACTATTCATTAACTGACGCCAATTAGGCAATCCAAACCACGTGACATTCAAGATGGCGTGGCGGCCACACATGGACCAAAAAACACAAAAAAATATCTAGTTTCTGCCCGACTTAATAGTATACGTACTTAGTAAACAAATATTTTAATGAATAATCAAAATCAAAGCTGCAAGCAAAACTCGAAGCAAAATAATTTAAATAGGTATGCATGAAAACACTTATTCAAAACTCATTTGCTGGCCGCCACGCCATATTGAATTTTTCATTTTGACAGATGGATTGGATTGCCTAATTTGAAGCGATTGACTAGTCGGTCATCTTGACAGATAAGCAATGCATTTAATGTCAGTTAAGACCAATTGGTTGACGAATGACGCTCAATCAATGGTTTATCTGTCAAGATGACCGATCGGTCAATTGCTCAAAACTGGCTTTACTTGGTCAAAAACTCAAGACACCTTTTAACGTCGCTCCGGTTTAAACTAACCGGGTTACAAAACGGTTAGGGGCGGTATGTCAAGTGATGACATCTCTGAAAATGCCACTTGAAAACAAACGGTTAGAAAAATGTTATTTTAAATTCGATTCAAGGTAAGGTACCATCGCCAAAAGTAACTGGGACAGCATCACATTAGCTCTTGTCCTATTATATAAATTTTATTGTCAAATATTTGTCAAACTATGAATTAAATGCATTGAAATGAATGACAGTAAAATTAGTCCAGGAGATTATTATGCATTATTTGTGTCCCAGATACTTTTGGTGACGATGGTACCTATAGGTGTTTGACTTGTTTTGTGTTTTTAATTTTGGATTTTTCAATATTTTTTGCTAGTGCCGTCAAATCTGACCTACATATGTCTTCTATGGACAAAAATATTTTAAATGTGAGTAATTCACAATTAATTAATATGTGTAAGAATATGAGAAGTAAGTTTTTTTTCTCAAAATTGTGGAATTATCCAGTATTTCATGCCTTAGGTAGTAAGTAGTTTAATTTCTTTTCGTTCAATGCTTTAGATGTGGACCATGGGTGGATAGACCTACTAGAACCAGTTTATCTGAAGTTTATAAGTTCTGGTCATTCTCGTTACCTACAGTCTACCACCTACAACAGCCCATCAAGTAGGTAAACTGGGAATGTCTCTGGTACATCTTTTGGCTTTTGCTAATCCACCTGCAAACTGAACAATTTCTAATGCACGGGCTACGTAAATCAGGCTGTACACGAGGGAAAAAGGCTTTCGGGCTTCAAATTCATAAAATATAATAATATATACAAAACAACTTTTTATTTAGTTTTCACACTTTTCCGAACTTTCCGGCTCTCCGTTGTTTATATTTTTTTCTTCTAACCTCTCGACGTAACCATATCGCCGAGGCGGTTAGAGAAATGATATACCGTTTTCTAACCCGGTTACAAAGTGACATCTTCGATACCACCCGAATATGAGCGGTATGTTAAACCGGAGCCACGTGAAAAGGGCTAAGGTTTGGTGAGAGAGAAAGAGAGTGAGCAATGACAAGCATGACATCACAAGCTCTTTTGACAACCGTTTTAAGTTAGCAATCGCAACATATGACAAATGCGAAAACAAAGAAAAAAAGAAGAGCAAGCTCAAAATTCGCGAAAGGTCCCGAAGTAGGCGACATCTATGATCAACTTTGGTACTCAAAACCCAGTGAACAACAAAGCAAGTTTGCATTTGGCCCCCAGCATTGTTCCTGGAAGTTTTCAATTTTCTACAGAATATTATTCTTTTTCTGTATTGTTTCTGTTATATAAACATTATATAAATCACAAAAACGCCATAAAACACAATGTTACAAAAACTAACCTCGAAAAACTGGCTTTGTTGTTCACTGAGTTCGGCAGACATATTGCTATTTTTCACGTAATTTAGCGCCATCTATTGGTACAGGAATTTCGCCAATCGAAAAATCAAAGTGAATTTGTTTTTTTTTTTTTTTTTGAGAAAAGTCAAAATGACATCATGTTGGTAATACAATGTAAAATTGTCAAAGCCACAAAGCTTTCAAATATTTTATGTAGAAAAGGCTTGTGTTGCCAACATAGTTACTAAATTTTTGACTTGGGGAATTATCTTTAAAAAAAAAACAGACTTTAGAAGCAATATTGCCAACCTAATCTATAAACTAAATGTAAATAAACAATATAAACAAATCAAAACTATTTAAACATTGCATAACCCATCCTGTATCTCTTATAATTATCAAGATCCACATACTTACTCGCGAATTTGTAACACCCTGTATAGTTTAGTAGGTACAACCCAGAGATAAATACTATATAAACTGTCGAGATTGGAATCTAATTTTAAATTTTGTTGTCAACAAAATTGAGCCAAGCCAGCGCCATCTACCATATTGGAAACTCACTATTTACTGGTTTTGCATTGACGCTACAGATACCTACTTTACATAGGGCTTTAAGGCATTTTTATGATAGATGGCGCCCTGTTCGCATTACAGTAGGTCTGTTCAAATTTGTTTATTCTAAACTTTAGGGCATTAATAATAATGTTTGCTTAAATTAATTGATGTTTTGTTAATTAGATCAAAAGACAGTTCCTTTATCGATGGTTAAGGATATCCTTAACATATTTATTCAAAGTTCTGATTGATGTTTAATTGAACCTGTCATCAATCTAATCAACAAAGATAAAAATATATCTTCCAATCTAGAGAGTTTGAAGGTCTTCGTGAAACACACAAAACCACTTTAAAATCACTTAGAAACACTTGACAACACAAAGAAAGACGATATGCAAGACCGGCGAACGAAAAACATTATGAATTATTAGTTATGATCATAGAATAAGGTTATGATTAAATGAATATTTTGTCATATTGTCATATGTTGACATGTCAATCTCATGTCAATGGTATCGACATCGGACGTGTTCTTGATGTGCTGGTATTTTACAATTCTGTTGTTGTCAGCGACGTCTAAAAACGGAAAAGAGTTATTACGTAGTTTATTACTGGCAATAAGAGATCGTAGTGCCTGGTACAACCTAAGGTTAATTTTTTTTAAGCCAACGTACGGCAGCTTCTGATTGGTCTGTGCCTGTATGCGATTTACTTTACCATTACGCACGTAGTGTGTCCAAGATTCTTGAAACCTTTTTTAAGAATGTAATACAGTTCTTGAGATTAGAAGTAAAAATGTGTTTTTTTTTTCTGTTTCAGGTCCAAGAACGCGCCGAATAAAAAAGCCAGGTACGAAACCGACAATTCCAGAAGAGAAGCGTCCGCGAACGGCGTTTTCCGGTGCCCAATTGGCCCGGCTCAAAAACGAATTTTCCGAAAACCGCTACTTGACCGAAAGAAGACGTCAAGCTTTGAGCGCCGAGCTGGGCCTCAACGAAGCCCAGATCAAAATTTGGTTTCAAAATAAACGTGCAAAAATCAAGAAAGCTTCCGGCCAAAAAAATCCTCTAGCTTTACAGCTGATGGCCCAGGGCTTGTACAATCACAGCACCATACCGCTGTCCAAGGAGGAAGAGGAACTAGAAATGCAATCGCAAGGCAAAATTTCGTAGCTTCCTTTTTTGTGATACGTACGAGAAAAATATTCAGTTCGTTGACGAAAATAAACCGGGAGACTAGTTTTTACGATTCCTCCGCATTGTTTCTTAATTCTTCATTTCTCAGAGAATCAAGAGTCGCGAAGGGAAGAAAAAAACCGAATGTCCAGCTTCATTTAAACACAATCGCTTGGTGTGTGGCGAGATCGACTTAATTTTTTAATTTCTCTTTTAAGTTTCGAATCCGGTGAGTTTATTTCGACGTAATTATGTTGACCGGTTCGATGAAATCTCTGCAGCACTTATGCAGTTTAACTCATTTATGAAAATTCCAATTTTATACTTACTTGTATTAGATTTCACTTTGAAAAATCGGCATTTCAAAAAACTGCTTTACATTTGTATGTGTAGAAATTATTGAAAAATCTTAAAAGGTATCTGATGGAACTTTCCATTTTTTTGGATTTTTATAATTTATCTATGATATAATTTATTGATTATCAATACCAACAATGATTCTTTATCTGGATCTAGTTACAGTTTGATTTTCTATTGGAGTCAAGAGCATTTACTGCATAGTGCTGATTTGCTAAACTATAGAACTGAATATTTGTAAATACCTATCTATTAAATTACAATTAGAATATGTATCGTGCATGTAAATCTACAAAAAAAATGTGTGTAAAATTATGTAAATTGAGAAATATTATGACTATATTGTTATTTGTAATTAGAGATTTTTATTATCTGTCTGTGAAACGATTATTATTATAATTATTAGGCTAAATGTAAGTTTATAGCGTTTGAAATTTTTCTAAAAAATAGTTTCGACTTTTAAATTTACCGATTAGAAAATTATAGATGTCTCTTTAAATTATTATTATCATTGTACAATGTTTTCGCCCTTCTTGTAAAAATGGAAAGTACCTATTTATTAAAAAGCGAGTTCTTAATGTAAATTTTGCGTATTATTTCTTCAATCGCATCCATCAAAATAGGACACGAAAACAAAAGTACTTCAATAAAAACTGGTCTTTTAAATAAATTACCGATATTACCAATCGGATAAGATTAATTGCGGTCATTCGTGATTGATGAAACGTATATATACGAAGATTATTACTATCAACAACGATTATTGGTTTTACAAATGGATATTAAACACGAATGGAATAAGAACCAGACTTGGTAATATCAGGAAAAGTTATGTATACTTTTTTATACAAGATTATGTTTACCACATCAGAAAATTATTAATTGAAATCTAGGGCAACAAAATTAAATATGGAAGGTTTTAAGAAGCATCAAAATCATTTTGGTTTCATCTGCTTCCGGCATATTGTTTATCAAAAATTCTGATATTTTTGATATTAGGCTCAAATTCTTGATGGTGCAATGTCCGAAAAGCTTTGAGCTTTGGTTTTCGGACACTTGACAACTATGAATTTATGATGAAGTAAAGGCTTCATTCAACTAAAAATGTAGAGCACGCACAAATTAACTAGACAGAACTTATGAAATGACAAAGAATTGCTTTGGTATCAACAAATCTATATTCCAAAATATATGGATTTTGTTTTGTGAATATTGTAGAACTAACTCAGTTGATATCTGATGAAGTGAAAAAGCTGTTATTTGAAGGTATATTGGAAAAGAAATTCACCCTGAATAGCCCAAAGCACTGGTTCCAAAATCTGAGAATTAAAAGAGAAAGATGGTTATTGACAACTCTTAGACCATAAACAGGTATACATTTTTCCTTCCAAAGTTTTTTGTAATTATCTCTTAGATGCTGGCATTCCCTCTATTCAAACTTCAAACGCACTCAACTGGTACTTGTAGTGTCCACCAATTATTTTGAATGTCTCCACTAAATCCCCACGCGTTGATCTCTCATAAAGTGTAGAGAGGTTCAACCTTTGCAGTCTTTGTTGGTATGGAAAGATACGAAGAGCTGGTGGAATTTTTGTTGCTCTACGTTGGACTTTTTCATGTGCTTCAATGTCCTTGACATAATTAGGACTCCATATGCTTTAAGCATACTCCAGCCTACGTCTTATGTAACCCTAAAGCTTTACAAATATTTGGGGTGTGGGATCTTTAAATTCCTTGGATATAAGGTACCATCGTCACCAAAAGTAGCTGGGACAGCATCATAGCTCTTGTACTATTATATGATTTTTAGTGTCAAATATTTGTCAAACTATGAATTATTGTTCATCGATTTTTAATTGACACTTTCCGTATTAGTCTGGGAGACGACCGCATTTTTCCTACCCCGATCGAGTTACGTGTCCACACTGTTATCAATATATAGTATTATGTGCATCTATTAACCAGTATTACTGCCTGAGGGCAAATGCTGCCGGAAATATATTTTAACAAATTATTAACAAATTGAAAAAAACGTAACACTACCCCCATCGAGTTATGCCCTAAGTAGGGTATCAGATTAAAGGTCTCGATGTCCTCTATCTAAAAAGTCGATCCTGCCTCGTGAGAACTTGCCGGAAAAATGTGGCAGGGCACCTTATTGGGGCAAGGTCCCGCAGTTTCAGCTTTGACACCTATCAAGTTTTGCCCTGAGTGATGTCAAATTAAAGGTGTCCTTAAGTTGATTTAAGGTCTGTACGCACAGAAATCCCAAACCAGAAGGAGTGAATTTCATTGGTTGAAACTAGTTTCCTGACTGTTTCCAACCAATGAAATTCGCTTTGACTGGTTTGTGATTTCTGTGCGAACAAACCTTAAATCAACTTATTGACACCTTCAATTTGACACATCATTCAGTGCAAATCTTGATAGGTGTCAAAGCTGAAACCGCGGGCCCTTGCCCCAATAAGCTGCCCTGCCACCTTTTTCCGGCAAGTTCTCACGAGGCAGGATCGACTTTTTAGATAGAGGACATCGAGACCTTTATTCTGATACCCTACTTAGGGCATAACTCGATGGGGGTAGTGTTACGTTTTTTTCAATTTGTTAATAATTTGTTAAAATATATCTCCGGCAGCATTTGCCCTCAGGCAGGAATACTGGTTAATAGATGCACATAATACTATATATATTGATAATAGTGTCGAAACATAACTCGATCAGGGTAGGAAAAATGCGGTCGTCTCCCTAACTATAAAATATGAGGAGCGAGGGGGTGTTTCATATGGCAAAAACAGGTGTGACGTCAGGTAACCATTGGCATTCTAATGTAGGGAGCCACCAGCTCACATTCCGTCCGGGTATCAGATTAAAATCGACAAACAATAAATGCATTGAAATGAATGATGTTAGAATTAGTCCAGGAGATAAATATGAATTATTTTTGTCCCAGATACTTTTGGTGACGATGATACATGGTACATGATGGAGTTTGATTTCTTTGCCCAGGTGGAGAATTGAACACTTCCAGTCATTTAGTTGTTGTGCACTGTTTGGTGGCATCTATTCCTGGAGGCTTCCATTCTGCGTTACAGGATTACTATAACAACAGGTATCATCCGCAAATGACGGCATGTGACTCCTCAATCCATTTGGCAGGTCTTTAATATAAGCAATGAAGGGTAGAGGGCCAAGGTTTGAGACTTTGGAGAGACCACTAAAAACTTCATGGACCCTATCCTGACGCAGAACATCGATGCTGTAGAAAATTTTGGATTAGAATGAGTAAAAGTCCTCTTATAACATAGTAATTGAGTTTATGAAGAAGCTGCCCAAATGGTACCAAGTCAAAAGCCTTTTCAATATCCAGGTAAAATACATCAACAGACTGGCCAGAGTCTCTTGTCCAGTCGTGAACCTTGATGAGTAGGTTCGTGAAAGTAGACCTTCCAAGAAAGAACCTGTGTTGGAATTAAGGTAAGATCATTCCATTTTCGAGCAAAAGTCCAGTCATCTCAGATACCAGGACTTTCTCTAAGGGTGCTTGTTAAGCTAATGGCCAATCCCCAATTTTTCGGGTATAAAAGCTACGATTAGCACAGAATGTATCATTATCTAAACTGAGCATATGGCTTAGATCTTCTCTTGTAAAAACTCTCTGAAACTGCTTGGCAAGCAACTTGGCAACTTCTCTCTCATCATTAAGGGTGGAGTTTGTGGTTACATTCCTAAGTGAGAAATGTGTAAGTCCACTGATAAAAATGAACTCTTAGAGAGAAGCAATATATTATCTTGAATCCAAATTTCTTTAAATGAAGAAAATTTTCTCTTTAAAATAATGTAGTCTTGAAATTAGATATTTCAAGTATTTGATTAATCACGCATATTCTATTGGTAGTCAAACGTCTTGTACAGACGATTATTTGCTTAAATGTATTACACATAAAACTAGTGATCTTAAACCAAGAAAAATACTTTCATTCAAAGATTCCTGACTCTTTCTTTAAAGAGATAATCAATAATTCTGCGCGCGACGTAGCTCCTAGCTGCGCCACTTTGACCGTACGCCGGTACCATCTACATTAGTGCATCTTTCATTTCTCCACCTGTTGTGTTTTCTGTTTCATTTGTCACTTATCGGGTCCGGGTTGTGGTTTGCGAATAAAGTCGGAAAACTGGAAATCCGTTATTCAGCCCTCGGTTATGGTATGGGATAATCATATAATATTATCTTTAACCTGTTTTATTTGGGGCCAAATTATGGGCCAACAGGTGAATTCTATTCTCTAGATATAGAATTTACCTGCTTGGTAACATAACAACCCGGATCTTTACCAGTTGGTCCATATTATAATTTGGCCCTTTCTTAGTAGAAAGGTAAGGTTTAAGACTGCTATTTTTTTATGCATAGGTGAATTAACCCATGAATTGTTCTGAAAATTCAAGTTTCTTTTCTGTTAATTATACAGGGTGTTTAAAAAAGACGCGGCAATATTTGAGGGGGTGATTCCTCAGGTCATTTTATGGAAAAAAGTTCCCATAAACATAGGTCCGGAAATGCATTTTTTCCAAGATACAGGGTGTTAAAGATTTTTTTAAAATAACGTTTTTTTTTTAAATAATTCAAATATCTTCTCACCGATTTTTTTGAAAATTGGCAGCGTTGTTTTTAGTAATTAGGGGCTAGTTTTGCCCTAACTAGATAATTTTTTTTAACTCCAGTGGCGTTAGGGGGGGCAATTTAATAAAATTTATTAACGAAAAAATGTACGCCACTGACTTTAATTTAATTTCGATTTTTCTTTCAGATAAATCAACTAAAACTGCAACTTTTTTGTCTCTTAAATTTTTCTCGTATCTTGCTTCGTTTACAAAATAAAAAATGAAAACTATTTTCTTGCTTGTCCATTATGATACAAAAACATTACAAAAACTGTTCAAAGTGACCACCCCCGGCGTGGATGCAGGAATCCAATCTTCTCCTCATTGACTGGCGAACTCTCTCAAAAATACCAGGGTCATTTCTAATTGAGTTACACCCACCAATGATTTGAGCTCTTAGGTCTAATCTTTACCACCCTGTATCTTGCAAAAACTGCATTTCCGGACCTATGTTTATGGGAAGTTTTTTCCATAAAATGACCTGAGGAATCACCCCCTCAAATATTGCCGTGTCTTTTTTAAACACCCTGTATAGTATAGTCACATAAGTATGTAGGTATTTTTATACCATTTTCTGTGCTATGTTTTGTTTAAATATAGTTATATCATTAAATATATTATGTTTTTTTCAGACAACATTGTTTTTTAATCCCAAGAAAACTTCCCTGTTATGTAAAAGTTGTCCTAGAAATCAGTTATAACCTATCCCTTTAGATAAAGGTACTTGCTCAAAATTAACAGGTTCTTAAACCAAAGAATCCATTATTTTGAGCAAAAAAAATGCTTCCACCGAAAATCTAGATTCCTTAAATCAAGAATATTGATTTTTGATCCAAGCTCAAAGAAGAATCCTTGAAGTAAGGAAATCATTAATCGCATTCTTCAAATTCGATAGTTTT